AAAGTTGATAACGTAATCTTGGTAAAAATTTTAGGAGCACAGCAGTATATTAAACTTCCTATCTATCATAAAACACTGGCAATAAAGTTACTTTCAAATTGTTATAAAAAGAATGTGTAGAAGACAGATAAATGTTGCTTGTTTAAATTTATTTACAATGATGTAAAATCTCATTGTGATGAAGTTCATATGAAACTTCACAGGATTGCTATGAGTCAGAACCGACTTGATAGTACTGAACAACAACAATTGTTCTCAACATATATATTGTTAGCATTGTCTTTCCAGCTTTCAAAATCTTAGAAATGAGTGCTTAGTCTATTAGCCACTCTTTGGTGACATTAAACTAGGAGGAGAATGTTGTTGTTAAGTGCCATGTAGAGTTTCCGAGGAGCAGCTGGTGGATTTGAACTGCTGACCTTGTGGGTCACAGTCCAGTGCTGATCCTTCAAGTGCCACCCCAGTAGTCCAGGGGGAAAATAGAGATGTATAAAGTCATATAAAATTCTCATGGCTATGTCTTCATGGCTCCTTCTCTTTTGCTTTTACTTTAATATCTCTGGGTGGTTTGTCAACTTCAGGCAGACAGGCTACTCAAAGATGTTCAAAGGTTTATTACATCTCGACTTTAGGTTATTTTTTAGACATCTCAGTTTGTTCTGAGCTCATATGCTATCCTCTTTGTTTTAAATGCAAACAGTACTCAATCAAATTTTTGCTTTAGGGCACATTGTTATTTGGATTAGGTCAGGAGTAAAGATTGCACAGCTGCTTGGTTAATTGAATAAACAACTCATTTAAACACCTTTGTCAGATCTTAGAATTGACTATGGAGTTTAGCCTAAACTCTTTTAGTTCTAACATCCTACTTCTATATGCCCCAAGATTCTTAAGTGATAAAATGTAAAATATTTTTCTATAGTTTTATAAGTAATTTTGTTCTCCACTCTCCTCTGTACACTGATGTCAGAAATGTAAAATTCATGCCTCCACTACCTCCTGGACATGGCATCTAAGGTCTGAGACGCTTAGTGACATTGTGGCAACGGGTCAGCTGTCTGGTAATGGTTGGCTTGGGAATAGTAGTACCCCTGGGCTATACATCATCCTCTCTCACCTGATACCACCTCACTGGCATCCACTGAGAAACCTGCACCACATCTTGTCTTCAGTTCTATGATCCACTGTTTTTGGCAGCAGTACCTTCTCATCACACCTTGAGGGTCCTCTTCTTTCACAGCCAGCAGCTGCTGCCTTCCTGAACCCATCTGGGGCCAGTGCAGTTGCCTAGGATTCCTCAGGTGGTATGAGGGGGCTTCAAAAAGTGCATGGAAAATGAAGAGTTGGGATGACCAAGTTACATAGAACCCAACGACCTGGAGTATGGTGAGAGCTGGTTGGGCTGAAGTACGGTGAGACCTAGGGACTCCTGAGCCCATGGACAAGGACATGGCCATGAAGAACTAGAGCTGAGAGTGAATTGTTCAGTTGATATGAAGTGAGGGGATATGAACAAGGGTGCCCAAACTTGCAGAGAGTGCCCATTGGACCTAGCTTCAATGGCTGGATGTTCAGAACCTGACTAGAGGATGGAAAAGAGAAAAAAAGAAAACAAGTGTAAATTGCTACAATCTGATGAACTTGACCTATATTTATGGATGTAGTAGCTTAAAATACCAACCAAGAG